TGAATGGGTTGATCCTAAATGTAACTTGTCGATGTGAGGCATGTCAATGAGGATCACCACCCAAAGGGCTTCTGCATAATCAGAGGATGTCTGGGCTGCCACATGCCCCTTTAGTTCCACCCTTAGGCCAGTAATGAATTGTTCGGCCTTCAATTCCTCAGTACTAACATATGCTATAGAAAACCTTGTCATCCTGTCAAATTCCATATCATATTCCTCCAATGACTTGTCTCCTTGTTTTGGTTCAAGAAATGTTGACTGCAGTTTGCAATGACTGAGTAGTATTTACGGAGGTAAGCTTCTTTAAACTGACACCTAGTGATAAACTTCCTTGTGGTACAATGATTCTCTGAGCGCCTTTCCACCAAAAGTGTGCCTCTCCTTTCAACATGATACTCCGGCAATTCATGTATAGAAGGTTGTTTCTATAGTCTCTAGCCAGTTCTCTGCTGCAATGGGATCTACCTTGCCTCCGTTGAAGGAAAACAGTTTATGCCTTTTAAAAATCTTTCAGGTAACAGGACTCCACAATCATAGCCCTTGAATCTTTGGTCCCTTGCATTGTTGTCTCATTAGCCATCATGTATGTATCATTTAGGTCATCAGAGCCTGATTTTCCATTGAGATTAACATGAATGCCTGTAATACATCCAGTATGGGTGTGGCTAACTACTGTATGGGCGGGACTTCCGTACTAGTGGCTGGCACTGATGGGACATCCTCGGAGAGGGGAGTAGTGGAGTCTATATCAAGCAAGTTTTGAGCCTTTGCCCTCTTTCAACGCTTTTTAGTTCTTGATGCCCGCAGTATGGTTCTCTCGCTAGTTTGGGGCGTGTCGCTAACCTCCTCTTGAGGTTCATGTTGTTTTACTTAAGTGTTGGAACAAAGGTGCCTTGAGCGACTTTTCTTCTTCCCCTTCTGAGTCCGAGCTCGATATAGGGTTTGTGCCTCTTTAGTGCCATTATCTACCATAACAAAAAAAGAAACTATGGTTATAATTCATTCGTATCAAATCTTCCAGATAATGCACAATTATAACACATATTAGGATCACACAACAACGCACACACTCGATCTAGATGAACACAAAAAACAGGATAGAGAAAATGCAAGGAGAATATTGGCTAAAGGTTTTATATTGATAACTATAGATATGTACAGTAAGAAAATACAATACAGAGAATATAGAAAGTACAAGAAGATATATATATGGTTCAGCTTACTATATATAGTTTTACCAAATATAACCATCTACTATATATAACTATCTACCATGGTTGTATCCTCCAAATGTAGGGCCTCATCAAAGGGCTCTGATTGGCTCTGATTCCCTTTCATCAGCAACAGATAGTGTAACGAAAGTACATACATATCTGATACTCTGATAGTACTAGATGATCTTCTCAACACCGGTTCAGGTGTCACTTACTCTATCGCTGGTTCCTCTGCAACAGTCTCAAGAGTTTTTTGAGTATCTACTACAACATCACTAGGTGATTTTTCTGCAACTCAACCTCAATTCCCACCTGCTTTGTTGTCTTGGAACCTTGCTCCACATCTAGTTTCTCAGTAGTAGTCTCAGGAATTTCATGAGTATCTGCTACAACATCACTAGGTGAGTTTCCCTGCAACTCAAGCTCAACTCTTACTTTGTTGTCTTGGAACCTTGCTTCACATCTGGTTTCTCAGCGGTAGTCTCAGGAGTTTCATGAGTATCTGCTACAATCACTAGGTGAGTTTCCCTACAACTCAAGCTCAACTCCCACTTGCTTCGTGGTTTTGGAACCTTGCTTCGCATCTGTATGGACCATTTCCAACCGCACTTTCTTCATTTCTCTGAAAGTCCTTGTGAAGCTAACTCGTTTTTGCTTGCTCATAACGCAGTTCTCACAATGACCCACATCAACAGATTTCAGACCTTCTAATACTTCTTTCGCAGCTAGCATCTTCATTACTTTCACGCTCATATGTCCAAGTCTATTGTGCAATATACTTGAATTTGAAGCACTATCAGCAACAGCAGCCATGTTCATGCACCCTGCAATGTTGTATAAAGTTCTAGATTTTATACCACATGCTACCACCATAGCACTCTTCATAATCTTCTACGAACTCTTCCCTAACTCTGTTGCATAACTTGTGCTGTCCAACTGACCAATAGAGATCAAGTTCTTCTTGAGACCAGGAATATATCTGACATCCTTTAATGTCCACTGATTTCCTGCCAGAGTTTTTATGCAAACATCCCATTTTCCTGTAATCTCCAAATCTTTGTTATCACCAAGATGCACCATCTCGAAATTTCCAGACTTGAAATTCCATAATGACTCTTTATTTGGAGACAAATGAAAAGATGCAACGGAATTCAAAATTCAGGATTTAATCAAACTGTCTACGCTAAAGATTAGAGCATCCCCAATGTCTTTTACTGAATTTATAGAATCATCATCATCTCCAGATTTGTGATTTTGCTTCCTCTTTGGTATTGTACAATTTGTCCAAAAATGATCTTTTTCTCCACAATTCCAACACGATACGTTTGGTCTATTTGAATATTTTTCTTGGTTCTTTGATTTTGATCGCCCTTTGTTTGGGCCCTTCGGTTTACTTCTTTCTCGTTTGTTAACACTCAGAGCACTACCAGATGAATTTTCAATTTCTCGTTTGCGAATACTTTCACTAAGAACTACATCTCGAATTTCATCAAACTTCAGCTTATCATATCCTCGTGAACTGTTGATTGCGGCAACAACAGTATCCCATGACTCGGGTAAATATGACATCAAAATCATTGCTTTAATTTCATCATCGAAATTAATTTTCACCGAACTCAGTTGACTTACGATCATATTGAATTCATTTATATGATCAACAACAAATCCATCGTCAGACATCTGTAAATTGAACAATCTTTGCATCAAATACATCTTGTTCATAGCCGACGATTTTTCGTACATATTCGATAGCGCCTTCAACAGATCTGGCGTTGTCTTCTCCTTGATGATGTTGAACGCCACGTTTCTGGATAGCGTCAACCAGATCAACCCTAACACTTGTTGAAACTTGAGCTTCCACTGTTTTGTGGTTATAGTATCCAGCTTCACCCCCAATAGGGGTTCGTGAAGATCTTTCTGGTACAGATAATCTTCAATATGCATCTTTCCGAAATCGAAATCGAATCCATTGAACTTCTCAATTTCAATCTTTAAGCTTTCCATCTTCACAGATCGTGGTAAATTTCGCCTAGCTCTAATACCAGTTGTTAGGACCACGCAACAACACACACACTCAATCTAAATGAACGCAAAGAACAGGATAGAGAAAATGCAAAGAGAATATTGGGTAAAGGTTTTATATTGATAACTATAGATATGTACAGTAAGAGAGAATACATAAAATATAGAAAGTACATTTTCAATGCTTTGCCTGAAGAGATATATATATGTGGTTCAGCTTACTATATATAGTTTTACCAGATATAACAATCTACTACATATAAATTATCTACTATATATAGTTTTACCTCATATAGTTTTTTATTATACATAGCTATTTACCATTTATGACAATTTATTTATATATCATTTACCATATATAGCTTTACTGTGTATAACGATTGACTAAGTTATAAATAACCAGCAGGCTCCATAACCTAACACAACAGAAAGTCGTGGTATACTCTTTAAATACTAGCTTTAATTTTGTCTCTATGTTTCAAACTCGTAAGTACATTTGGTTGCGAGCAGCACGTGTTTGATAGGCATGGTTATCGAGGATACGAATCTCTATCCTAAATGTCTACAGAACCTATGACATGGTGCTCTAATACCAAATTCGTCACGACTCAATATTTTACCATGAGCCGTGACACAAAACGACAACATGAATGTAATGAAAACATTTGAAAATGCATTAGGGCGAAACCATTTATTTCAAGTGAAATTTTAAAACAAATGTTCAAACAATTAACCGTTTTGGGAACGAAAATATGCGAATTCGAATAATAATAATGAAATTAAAAAAAAAAAAAAAAAAAAAAAGACTGGACTGACGCCCCAAGACATGCATTCCTCTGTCATAATCCAGCCCTCTCTTGACTCGATGTCTCACACACTTGAAATTATACTCAGTAAACCACCTATTTGTAGGCTCTCATCGCATCCTAAGCTTAACAAATTTCCGCATGCTTCTAATTGACTCTAGGACATTTGGTTCTAGTCTTAGTCCCTTGAGACGCGACTCTTGGAGCTTCTCTGGTCATCCGTCTGTTCATTTAGTCCCTAAGAGTTCCTTATGCTGAGCTGTAACGACCGGTCATCCGTCTTTTCATTTTGAATTTCTTTTTTCTTTTTGAATTGTTGTTCCAAAGGGTGTTAAAAGCAAATACAATCCTATCAAATCAGAATAATTAAGGAATTGATTGATAAATTTGGTAGAAAGTCACCAAAATTGCTTGGAACAAATTTTATTTTGCTATCTTCAAGATTCCCCTTTTGCTATAACACTTGGAAGAAGCTCATGTGATTTTTGGCATCTTCTTTGTGGGAAATGTCATTTCTTTGCACTGTGCTCAATACAATTCCTCTCTGTTCCTCACTATGCAATCCAACAAGCTTCCTTAATATTAAAGTCCATTATTCATAACAAATATATCATACTAAATGAACGTGGTTCAAAGTCAAAACATAAATATAAATTTAATTTATACACTAAATACACATCATTTCATTATATAATTTTCATTCAAATATACCAAATCTCAATCATTCTAAACCGACCCAAAATCAAATAAATAAAATTTTATGCATTAAAATTATATTTTTATTTACTATACAGTTATATATAAATATTTATTTTTTTTATTTTTATTATTCAATAATTTTTTTAATTAATTTTTAATTATTTTAAAGATAATTTTTAAAAATATATATTAAAATTTAAATAGACTATCTAAGATGAATCATTTAGTCCACAAAAAAAAAAAAAAAAAAAATTATAAATGAATTGTTAGTTTTTAATAAAAGGAAAAGGCAGTACGTTGGCCATCATTAGCATTATCAAAAACCCACTATAGACAACAACAATAATTATTATTATTATACAAATTTGAAATTTGCATTTTGGGACATGTAAAACAAAGCTTGGTGAATAGCTTAACCAATATTCTTGTTCAATCCTCCACGTCTGTGCTGCTACTTCCACCATCTTCGTCTTGGTTTCCCTCACCCTTTATTGTATGCACCATTTGATGATTGGCCTGAAATGGAGGTGGCCATTGTTGTTCTGGCTCCACCATCAATGGCTCCATTTGGGCATTCATATCAAAACTCGCCTGCTTCTCTTTCTCTTTGTATAAAGCATCCAACAAGTGGAAGTAGGGGCATGTCTTGGAGTCTTCTCCCCTTTTCTTCTTCCCATCTTTCACCTTTTTGAAGTATTTGTTTATGTTTTCCCATTTCTCTTTGCATCTCTTTGAGCTTCTGTTGTATCCAATCCCTCTCATGCCTGCTGATATCTCTTCCCATAATAACCCCTTTTGCCCATTCTCTTCATACTTCATCTCCATTTCCATCCTCAATCTTATTAACGCTTCCACTTCCGCCTTCGGCCATCTCGACCCACATCCTCCACCCGTGCTCACCTTTGCAATAACGTTATGTGGTACCGGTGGTGTCGAGGGAGATATTTTTTGCAAAAACGCGATGACGGCGGCGTCTTTTGCTGCGGTGATCGACATCTCTTGAACTAAAACTTGATGATCGTGATTAGCCCTTGTCATTTCCTTCATTCTCCATGCTTCATCTCTCAATTTTCTTTGATTCTCTATTCTCTCCAAGGATTCTAGGAATTTTAATTGAAGGCTCTCTTGCTTCTCTATCACTTCCTTTGTTAAGTTCACGAAGAAATCTCTCCACTTTCTCTTCTTCGTCTTACGAAACGTATCTTTATCTTCCTCCGACGCGGTCGACGACGATGTCGAGCTCAAAAACAACCCATTGGATGAAATGTTTTGAAAATTGAGTGGCAAAGAGTGGTTGATTGTTGTGTTGATGGTCGATGAAACAGTAGAAGCTGCGATTAGTCTTTGCGGCGGAATTGAGTGGCGATGGTGGGATTGAACGGAAATGTGGTTGTGATGATGAATATCAAACGCCTCTAATTCATCGGAGAATTTATATACCTTTTTGCTATTATCAGATTTCCCACATCGACCAATTTTGGTTCTTTTGTGATACTTGTAAACATTCTCGAATTTCTCCTTGCATTTTTTTGGGGTTCGATTGAATCCAAGCTCGCCCAATTTCCTGAAATCTCAAAACAAATTAAATTCAATCATATTCTTTGTTTGATCTTAAAAAAATATATTAACTTTAAAAAAAAACAGACAACCCATGTTAGAAGATACCATATAGATCAAATTGGTACATCTTTTTTATGTCTGATTTCATATGAATTTACCAAGATTGGTAACCCAAAACAAATTATAATTCACAAAACATACCTTGAAATTTCATCCCATAATGGAGCTTTGAGCGTTGCATCTCTAAAAATTGCATCCATGTCGGATCTTATCTTCAACAAAGCCAAGGTTTCTTGTCGAGGCCACCGGTTTCCACCAAAATTCTTCTCTCCATCTTCAAACAACATTAACCCCTTATCTTCTTCACCCGAATTCGACCCGCCACTGTCACCGCCGCCAACTTCATTCGGTTCTGCAGCTTCCGGGTGTGGCGCCACCGTGACGCGGGAGTCGACGACATCCATGGGAGGATTTGTGTAGACTACTTATTACGACCCAAATGAACACAAAAATAGTAGAAGTACACAAAAGCAACAAAAGAGGTGAAGATCAAAAAAGAGATTTTTATTTCTCTCCAAGCTTTTATTAGGTTAGTTATTAGATATATAAATGTGAAGGAGCTTTATACATACGGTCATTTTCTTTTTCTTTATATATATATATATATATATATATATATGCCTGTCATGATCCATGGCCCCCCTCCCTTTCTCAAAAATAAAAAATAAAAAATTTAATGTGATTTTTTTTTCTTGTTTTTTTATAAAAATTGTTCGGATCTGAGTATATAAGGAAGAGATATTACGAGATTTATATCATATTATTATGAAAATTGGTGGTTCGGAAAATATATAATGTAAGAAAAAAAGAAAAAAAGAAATTAGTTGGAAAGTGGTAAAGAGTTATAGATGGAGACGAGGGGATAACAAAACAAGTTGGCCTCATGTAGCTCAGCTTTGCCTTTTGGAGGTGCGTTTTGGATGCCATTGGGTATGTTACTAAATTACCCTTCACCTTTTTCTTCCAATTTTTTATTATTTTGAATCATAATCAAAATATTTTACAAGGTAAACAAATATTAAATATTAAATATTAAAAGAAATTTAAATAGCGACCAATTTAGTTACAATGTGGGCTACCATAATTAATGTCCAATCGCAATTTTAATGCAAAATTAAATATTGTCTCACCTTTCATCACCATTTTTATTTTATACCATCTTTTTCCATAATTTATTAAATACTATGACTTTCATGCTTTAAATTCACCTAATCTACAACTATATGTGTCGGGATCTTCCTATATCGTGAAAATTATCTACACGGCCTAATACATGCCCTTTTACTCACATGTATCATAAGAAAATTTTTAAAACATTACTTCAAGTAAAACACGCTTCATTTTGGAGTTTTTACGGTTAAGTCACCGAAAAGGAAAGTGTATATTGGTATACGTAGTAACTTTCGATTCTTTTAAATATTTTTTTAGTAATTTTATCCTTAGGGTCAAGTAAGTTGAGAAATCTCTCCGGATTTGATGCACTATTATTTTAGATAAAAAATAATACACGTTAATAATATAATATAAATTATCACCAACTTTGTAAAAGTAGATTAATTAATTTAACTTAAAATATGTAAAAAAGGGAAATATTAAAAGTTTTACTAACTGATAATTAAAATGGTAGGGGGGAGGGGGACCCACTACGTGCTTATTAGTGGGACTTTAATTATAAAAGGGTAATTTTTTTATAAATATATATATATATATATATAATTAGTTGGAAAATAAAATAATTGTTACGTATAATAATGAATATGGTAGGAGACAATGAGGTTAATAATTGAGATCAAACAAAAATAATAAAATAAAATAACAGGATTCATATTTTGTGTTGTTTTATTTTATAATCAATATACCAATTATTGGACGGAATAATAATAATAATAATAATAATAATAATAATAATAATAATGCAAGACGGTGAGAGCTTATTATATCATTTTATTTTTTACATTATAGTTGGCCACAAATTCTTATTCCTAAATCACTTATTTAAAAAAATATACCTTCTAAATATGTTTGACTTAAAAAAAAAAAAAAAAAAAAAAAAGCCCTAGTTCATTCTAGAAAGAAACATAATATATATATATATATATATATATTTCTACAACTGTTATAAAGTGGAATCTTTTCATACCATTTGTTACCAAATTTAAAATATTTTGAATTGAATAAAATAAATAATTATATCGTTGATTATGAATGGGAGTGTCACACCATCACATCTCCTATTTGATTGGTAGGATTATATTGTGAACTCTATTCGAGATGTTTGGGTGATCAACTCAATCCAGCCCGTCCATATATGCTCGGTTTAAATTATTTTCATCCGCCCGTTTGTGGTTGAATAAAATATGATATTGGGTAGGTGTGATTATCCTTAAAAGCCCTGAAAATTGAAAAAAAAAAAAAAGAAAAATGGATGAAAGGGAGAGACGTAATGGATTAATTAAAGAGAATTGGTGGCAAAGGCCTGGAATCAGATTCATTGCCCACAAACCCCTAATTACACATTTTTATTCAATTTTTAATTTCATATTTTAGGCAATTCATTTGTTTTTATTTTATCTTAAAATAAATTAATTCAGTCAAGTCACACGTGGAAATGAGCGAGATGATGACGTAACATGGTGGGTCCCACTTAGAAACAAAAACTAATAATTAAAAATAAAAAATAAAGTTGCTTGAGGTAAGGGGAGAGGCAACAAGCGAGTGAGTAGTCATCCATTTCAAACACTCATCTATAATAATTATTATTTTTTATTTTATTTATAATAATAATTCTTTATTTATATTTCAAATTAAATCACCAATAAATAAATAAATTATAAAAAAAATAAGAACCATGAAAATTAAACGCTTCTTGAATCAAGAGAGGTTAATTTAATAATAAATTGAATATTTAATCCTAATTTATATATTCCTCTATTTTTGTTAATTTTTTGCATTTATTTATTTATTTAAAAAAAAAAGTGGTAATTTTGTATCCTCTCTTTGATGGTTGTGCAATTATTTTAAGGAGTGTTAAGAATGATTAAAATAATTAATAAGTAAGAAAAAGGGAATTAGAAGTAGAATAAAATTAGGTGGCACAAAGATGCTACACAACGTTACTTTAACAAATATTTATTTATGTTATTATGAAGTTTATGAATCATTCAATTTCAATCACAATATATTATTTTATTTATTTAAAATATATTAAAATAAAAAATAATAATAAAAAAAAAGTGGATGGTAACCATGTTTTGTTCTTACTTCTCTTTGGTTAAGTTTGAAAGAAACCATATTTGGTAACCATTCTTTATTTGATGCTGTTTCTTTCTTTTAAACAACCATCACAATTATTCTTCTTGTTTTTTGTTTTTTTTTTTTTTAATTAAAAACTTAAAATTAATTTTAATATAACTTTCTCATTTTTTAAAAAAATAAAATTGATTTTTTTTTTTTTTTTTTTTTTTT